GGTGTCAGGCCCGGCGCCCAGGGCAGGCAGGCGGGGCTCTGGGAGGGGTGCTCGGCCCGGCGCTGCCGGCTGTGCCGGAGCCTAGCCCCTTCCCGGGCAGGCTGACCGGTACAGCCCCGCCGGTGGGGAGTTTCCTTTTCCCCTCAGAACTCTTTTCCCCGAAGGTGGGCTTGATTTGTCTTTCAGGCGCGGTTCTTTATGCGATGGAATCACGTCTGCCAGAAAGGGAATTAAAGATGTGCCGGTCACAGGTCTTTTGAACTCACCTGTACTTCTTCCTTTGTCAGGTGGCTTTGAAAAGGATCGGTTACAGCCCGCTCAGCCCAGCCTAAGGTACTTCTGCTTCTGGTTTCAGATTTATGTCTCACCAAAGAAAAAATAAATGTATTTGTGCTGCTTACAGTTAATGTCTCATGATGCTTTCTACTGGAAGGGCCTATTCTGTTGTAGGAATTAGTCCAACCATAATCTGAAATAATGCTTAAATCTGAAAAAGCTAATGGGTTTTTAAGGTACATTTCTCATCCCTCTAGCAGTGGGGGAGCATAAGTTGAAAACTTAGTACTGCTGTCAGCTACAGAGTTAGTTCCAAGTGCCAGAAATCTCCCAACTCTGCAAGTGTCCAGTGAAGGAATTAATACAGTTACATATAAGAAAAATATTTTTCTTCAAAACACGTTGCAATTGCAAAAGCAAACACTCATCAGCTGCAAATCAACACCTGCATTAGGAGCCTTGCTGTGGAGGTGATGCTGTCCCATTGAAGTTTGCAGCATTTCTGTAGGCTCAGTTTCAAAGGCTTTCAGCTGGGCAACTTAATGAAATGCTCTTTCATGGGACAGGTTTAGCATGAATTGTGGCAACACACACAGGAACTACATGCAAGAGAAGGCATGTCCTGATATAATGTATTTGCTCTTGTAGGCTATTTCAATGAGGAAGAACCATCCAATTACTACGATGGAGATGGCTAAATAATGGTTAGCTCTCTCTTGGGAACTGAGCTGTTACTACCAAGCTATGTTCCAACTTCATTAGTGGTCTTTCCTATCAAATACGAATTGATTACTAGAGAGTGGGAGATTTTACAGTCCCTTATCAGCTGTTTGGGTGAGATCACCAGATGTTATTGGCCTTGAATGAGAGATGATTATTATTCTTATTTTAAACAGGCGTGAGGTGAACGGCCATAATGAGGATGGAAATGAGCTACAGACGACGCCGGAGTTCAGAGCACATGTTGCAAAGAAGCTGGGAGCAATGCTGGATGGGTATTGGCAAGCAGTAGTAAAAAAGTTTGTTCTACGAGTCAAGTACACTGATGCTTTTGTGTGCTAAAACCAGGAAATTAAAGATCTGAGTGCAACCTGGATATGGAGAAGTTGTTTCTCTTCTTGTCTCCTTCATTCCTGTTTTTAATGCAAACTTCCAGTATTCTGTGAATTAACCTGGCCTGTGTGCTGTGCCCCTCTGGTGAAGACTCCCTGTGCAGCACAGTCTGCCTCCGTTTGCCTCGGTGATGACTGGGTTGTGGGGAGGAAAAAGTAGATTTTGGGTGGTTTAGCACTTTCTTAATTTAAAGGTTGGCATGAGAATATTTCATTTATTCTTACAACCTAAACCAGTACCTGAATCAGAGTTGTGCTGGCAGTATTGCTCTGATGGGGCTGCCACTGTCTTTATTTATTGTGTACATGTGGCCCTGGAGAACTAGAATTCCTGGTGTTTAGAGTTGGCTTTAGAAATGCTGCTTTGAAGTCAATCATGTGGCACGTGTTCCTAAGCAGAGAAGGCACAGCCTGCTCTGAAAGCAGGCAGGTGAGGCAGCTTAATTAAGAAAAAAGCAAGAATCTGTGTAACATCTCCCTATAGTCTTGTTTCCAAATTTAGCTCAGTTTGCACAAACCTGTCTTAAGATCTGACTGGAGTTTTCTGTTTAGTTTCATCATGGTCTTGAAGGAGTCATCAGGACCTTCACAAACATCTGTGCAACAGCCTGACCCTGGAGATGATGGTGAGTTCTAGTCACAGACGTTGTGGCTGGTTTGTGACATTATTAGTTAAATGATGACAAGTGGGATGGGTCCCATCCATTGCCAGCTGTCCACTCCACTGACTAATAAACATTTGCAATAGAAGAATTTCTGTTGGTGTCCGTGAAGGCTTTGATCTGTGAAAGATACTTTGAAGCTGTGATCTCTGTGCCCTAACTCCTCTCAGATAGTCCCACATAGTTGCTGTCAAGTGCTACAGCAGTACAGTGACAGCAGTGAGGCTTTCCAGGGAGGTTGCCATTGATTGCTTTCACCTCTGTTTTATATTGTGGCTAAAATTCCCTTTTATATGTTTTAGGTTTTTGCCTCTTCTCTTCCTCTATCCCAGGAGACTGTGGGAAACCAGAGCCTGGCCCTGCAGCAAGGAGGAGACAGCCATCTAGCTCCAGGTGAGGTGGTGCCAGCTGCTTTGCTCCTGAAGATCTGTTGCATCCCATGTTTCAGAGGCAGCTGGGACTCTCACAAGGGAATAGGAAGCTGAAGAGCTTGAGAAGTGTATATTTCTGAGTCCTATTTGACTACAGCAGGGTTTTTTGTTTGGTTTTTTTTAGTGCCAG